GAGTTGGACTATCAATCCCGGTGGGCCCAAGTCCCGGTATCCCGACAGGCCAATCCACCCCTGAGGATCATCACCTAGAAAAGCGACAAGTCATGTGTATACAAGCTGTTTCCTTGATATGACACATTCAGGAAAGGAAGACCAACTGTATGTATGGTTCTAATCTGAGTAAAAATGGCAATACGTGGTGACACTCAATAAAGTGTGTGTACACCTTGATAACTGTGATCAGTCTCCTTCAGTTTTCTACCAGTTAATGAGGGAAATATTTCCCCAAATGTCAAACTTTTTTGAAGAAATTCATAATCATTACCAGATACTGCACTACTGCAATGTTCTGGACCCCTTGTATTTCACAGAAATACCAATGGTGTATGTAAATGAATATGCTTGGATTAACAAGTATTTGATACTTGTGAGTAATCAATTGTATTGAGTTAATGCCCAGTTCTAATCAAAACTCCTAAAATCCTTCCCTAATTTTTCACCATGTCTGACTGGTTGACAACACCACCACAGAATTGTTGTTTCAGCAACAAAACCCAAATACAATGGTCAAAATACAATATCTTTTCATGCCTTTTTTTTGTTTCCTTTTTCTCCTTTTACTGTAATTCAGTTCTTCCCAGATTCTAAAAATTTCAAAATGATTCCAGTGCCTTTTGGACATCTATTTGAAAAATTATTCACCCCTAGTCTATATAATAAAAACTTTTCTCATATAGCCTAATTCAAGCTTGTGGATTTAAAAAAAATGTCAAGTCTAAGGATATTTTGGAAGCAATGGATGTGGCATTCCAAGATTTTGGTTTTTGCTTAGTGAACTTAAATCCAAAATTGTAAGCTCTGGACCAGATGCTGCAACTGTCAATCTCAGTATTAGATTTTTGTTGTTGGGTTTTGATCCCATGACCCACACATTGCAACTTGATCTGCTAACCACTAGGATAAGGGAATGATACAGAAAACGAAATTATGTATATCAAGCAGAGGTAAATATTCTTCCAAAAAAATCAAATATTTTTTCTTGTATCCTTAAATAAGGCCCTAGGTTTGTTGGCAGCAGATGCACCTGGGTTTCCAGGACACTGCATGACCCATAGGGTGGAATTTAACCTGATGGACATTTAGTATCATACACAAGTGTTGTAGTGGACATTCACCTACCTATTCTACAAAAGTTCTTCAAAGACTTACAGAAGTAAATTGGATGGCAGAGATAATCAAAGATCACTTCTCCAAGGCCAACAATGGAACCAGATTAATACAAAATAAAGAAATATTTCTTTCCAAACTTCTTAATAATGGCTAAACATAATTGTGCAAATGTAAAACTCTGCTGAGGAAAATGCCTGGCAAAGAAAGGGCAACAGTTGTTGGGCTTCTTGGAAAACTAAGTTTATATTTGTGCTATGTGCCTTGGCCAAACTAGAGCACAGACCATGCTTCATTCCATGCAGGATGAGGGAGGCCCTGTGTAAAGTGAGCTTTGGTGCTCAATAGATAATTGAAAGGGTTCTCACTAAATAATGTTAAAGCTAAAGCAGATCTGACAGATAACAAAAACAGATTGTTGTAAGCAATCAGTGATGCCTTGGATAAATGCTTTAGAAGTTACTAAACTGAGATACATTTTACATAATCTTTGTGGTATAGAACAAGTTTAACATTCCACTGCTCATTTCTACAAAACTGTGGGTGTAACCCACAAGCTTTCCTAGACACATAGGAAGAGTCGAAGGCACATATATACATCAGGCAGACTGTACATCTGTTTGCTGGCATTCTTCTATTGTCTATGTGGTAGCATGTCAGCCTGGATGATGCTGATAGATATTAACAACATTCTGCAACATTTGTTCCCTATCTACTGCATGGTGTGAGAGGAGCTTCAGCACAGTGGAGAAAGAAAAAGTGAATGGAACTGCAACATAAATACAAACACCAATGACCAGTTTACAAGTACTACTATCAAGAGCTCTGAAGATGGAAAGTAGCAACTAAAAGAAACAGTAAATTGGTGGTGGTTGTCTGGTCAATGCCTCTGCAGACCAGGTTTTTACCCTCAAGAAGATAAACATTTTAAGAAAGGGAAAGACACAATTTGTTAATAAATTCGCAAATTGGGTCAACACAATATGCAAATTTTCTTGTAAATAAATGGCAATTGTTCTTATACTGAGGCAGATATGTTACAAATTTGGCAAAATATGTTCACATCTGGAAGAAAGCATAAAATTTACTTTTTGTTTGTTTATTGTTAGACACAAAGCTACACACACAGTGGACTATTTGTGCTGTGTTCACCATGAGTATCAAAACCTGGTTTTCAGCATTATAAGTATTGGGACTTATCGCTATGCCACTGGGAGGCTAAAATTTGGTAGTTATGAATTTTTACATATGCTGATATCAAGTGATTCAAAAGATCTTTCATCTTGATAATTGATGGAGAAAATAGCAAGAAATGGGTGTTTGAAAATGAGTGTACATGACTTCCCGAATTTGTGAAAAATGACCTTATGACTTGTTCAGGAAGGTGGAAAAAATGTGATATGGCTAATATGAAATGTACACAACTGTGTTTATGTGCTTGAGGAGTATTTGCTTCATTTACATATCCTCTAGCTACATTACTATATAGCCCTCATTCGTACTCAGATTTTAGAGTATCTTGCAGCATATTCTCACTTGGATGTGCTGCAGCCCTGCACAATCTATTACCTGACTCTTGTAACTTATGTCCAAAAACTCGGATTGACTCGCCACATTGTTGATATAGGTTGTGCATTTCTGTTAAGATTACATTAGTAGTTTCTCGTGTCCTATACTCTTCCATTAGCTTATGCACTAGATATTGATAGTCTGTTGTTTCACACAGCTCACCATAAGCTCTAATATAACGTTTAGCTTCTGCTGCTTTTCTTAGATGTAATATATCAGCTTTCTGGGCATCAGTCCAGCCCGATATTCTAGCTGCTTTGTCTAAAGGGTCTATAAAGCTTTCGACATCCTCATTTGCACTATTGTGATACAGCGGTACTGCACTTGTTAAGTGTGATGTGCCGTGTGGCCCTATTTGTGCAGGTTGCTCTGCTGCGGCTTTGTAGTTAGCATCAGCCCTTCTATCGACTGTGGTGCATGCACCACCCTTTTCTGTAGTTGTATCTACACCAGCAGTAGCCATAACTACTTATTTCTAACTTACATTACTTATAGTACTTTGGCTGACTTTCTTATTTTTTCCGGCTTTCTTTACTCAAACCAACCTGTCGTTAACTACTCCAAAAATCCTCGAGACTGCGCCAGCTGTAATGAATAGCGCCCTGGTGGGCTTAATTGTTGGAGTTTCAATTAAAACTACTCGTTACACCAAATTTATTTATTGGAGGATTTGTCATGACGAGTGGAGCCACAAGTCGCTAACTAGAGGTAGTTTACAGTTAGACTAAAGAATTGAAGTCTCAGGCCAATGGTGAACAATTACAATAACTTTTATTAATCATTAATTCATCTAACTAACAGTTGATAAAGACAAAACTTCGTTTATGACAAACAAACATAAAATGGCTTCTAACTCAATTAAAATACTTGTACTATCTTCAGTATACACTTTCATTAATACACAGATATATTTCAACATAACATTTTACAAAATATTGGTATTAACTGACTGAAGTTTACTTACAATGGTGTTGTATTCGGAAATCAAATAACGTTAGAAACCTTCAGCACTTCAAAGTAACTTCTTCTGAATCCCGGAGAACTGATTTTTCATCCCCTGACATGGGTTTATAAAGCAAATTTTCTGTGTATTATCTCAATCATCTAAATAGGACACAGCATCACCCACAAGTAGTCCTGTGATCCTATTGCACGCTTTATGGGAATCCCCGGGCTGTTCCAAAACCATAACTCTCAAGTAATTGGTTACAGTTAGGTTGTGTTAGCCGGTCACCTACTTACTTGTACCACTACACCCATGTGCTGTAAGTGATATCACCTCAAAGCGCTGATATCACTCACTAAACCAAACTTTTCTGTGACTTTCCTAGTTCTAAAGGGTTGAGGTCAACCTGTCACAAGTTCTAGTACACTCATCTCATTTCTAGGCAATGCATCTTACTAGCTTAACCTTGTTTTTCTAGTTCATCCACGTTTTTTAGTTGTTTACAAAAAACACAACTACTAATTTAACTTTATTCTTAAACTTTCTAAATTACTAAAAACTCCTAAAAACGTCAAAGCAATTGTAAATTCCCTCGAAAATAACCCAATTGCTTCAGGACATATCTTGTCCACATTATTTAAAGGGTAAGAATTGGTGAGATTATTTGCCTCTCTTAAAATATTAAGTCAGCATATATCAAATCCTGTATGTACAAATATTAATGCATTATTCTAGAAGTAAGCAGCTCAGTCACACAACTGCTCTATTATTAAAACAGGTTGCTACTTTTTCTTTTGACAACATTTGATTGTGGCATTTTAACAGGGTGTTTAGCTTATAGAATGAGTTGCCATCAGCCATAATGTAGGGTAGTACTTTACAAGTTTAAAAGGGAAGTTAATACTTTCCTAAAAATAAATGATGCACTTACATTTTTACTTTTCTCAAGGGTAAGTGTGCAAAGACAGCCTCGAAGAACATAATTTTTCTTTGTTGTGTCTATGTTATTTTTGTAAAGTTTATAAACTTAATAATTTTTCCAATTTCAATGTAAAAATTGAAGATGCTCATCAGAGCAGTTTCTACCAGTTGTATCCTTCTGTACGACAAGAATAGTGTACAATAAGCATGTGTAGTTTTAATTGTAAGAAGGAAAATCACCAGTAGTTGTAATGGTAGGCTTAACATTCATGTACACATGTAGTTGTAATGGTAGGCCTAACATTCATGTACACAAGTAGTTGTAATGGTAGGCCTAACATTCATGTACACAAGTAGTTGTAATGGTAGGCCTAACATTCATGTACACGTGTTTTTCTTGTTTGGTCTATTTCACAGAATTAATTTTTTATGCTATAATATGAATTTTCACAGAAATGGTTATTTGAGGGGATTGGACACTAGACATATTATTGATATCTGCAAATATTTATCAATACATTTGAAAACTTAGAAATCTAAGTGCTGATGAATAACTTTGTTTCAACAAATTCATATTGTAATTAATAGCTTATTAACTAATTTAAAAGCAGAAAACACATAAAAAGAATAGCCAAGAAAATCTTTGATATAAATTTAATCTCAGTTTAAAGAGAAAATGCAAAATATAACATGTAAGTAACCACCAACCTTTGTTACTAACACACACATGTACAAGTTAGCAGATGTCATCTAACAAATATCAACTGGTACGTATTCAAAATAATTGTTTTAATTCTTCATTAAGGTTATTATTACAGAACATTTAAAAATGATATATTTTCAAAGAAAATATATTTCATCCTGAATTAAAAAAGATATGACAAATCTAAGACACATTTCTCAGCACCTTGAGAATTTTTGTATTTAAATTTCTCTCTTTATCATACAAAGTGTAAGGTGAAATTTTAGTTTGTAGCTTTTAAATACAATGATTAATGTATATATCTTATTTATTACATTCAACAGTGCTGGATATTTACTTGTATACTTCAAATAAGATACATTTAACTTATCAGTGGCCCTAAATAATGTTTCATTTCTTTGTAATTCTTACCTATAAAAAAGTTAAGGAAGATAAAACTGATACAAGTACAACCAGAATTTTAAAATGTTTTTAAACTGCATTTCAGTAAATTATTAAAACAACTTATGTTTGTCACATTTAACTTCATGAATTAAGATTGCTTTTATGCAAGAATAACAAAGGCTGCACAGCACCTGAAATAGTAACTTTATTTATCTTATCAGCAGTAAAGACTAATTTTATACATACCATAACAACCAATGAACTGTGTTTCAAATCTTTAAATGTACAAATAGATTAAAATTTACCAAATAACTTTAATGACACTATACAAATGTACCTGTTTTTAAAGAAAACTGCAATAAATCATGTCTTAATTATACATTGAAAAAATAATTACGTAATAGCTTCTACCCCAAAGAGTTGATAAAAATAGTCTTAATTATGAGTAACAGGCAAATACATAAAACTTCTTTGACCACTCTGCTCCAAGGTCATCAGCTGAGTACCCTTGCTGCTAGAGGTGTTTCAGCTCTTAACTCAAGAACACCTTAACCACTTCCCTGGCTATCCCGAGTACACTCAGACCAAGTGGTCTTGTAAATAATTATTATACTATGTTAAACCAGGTTGCTTGTACGTGGAAAATTTTTCACCCAAGTAAACTTGATGTGAGACTGAAATTCTGTTTTATATTAATTCCACTAATAAGACAGCAGCACAAGCAGATACTTTTGGATCCTGCTTCTGATAAGAAAACAAGATGCTAATGGGAAGAGAATATGAGGAGAAAGCAGGTATTATTGTGATGTACCATTCTATATCACACCTTGCTTCAGAATCTACCATAATACAACATTGAATGAACTATAAATTTTTCTAACAGTTTGTCTTTTTTCTTATTTTTTTATAGTTGTGTACTTGTTTTTTGCATGTATAAAGTATTTCATGCAAATAATCCTAGATATATTATTTTCTTTACACTTTTATATTTGATGAGATAACTCGGGTTTATAACAAAAGCTTTATTATACGTCATTTTTTTTTCTCTCATGTAATAAACTTTATAACAAACTATTATGAAATAGTTTGTTTCACTTTGCCTATATGCAAAAACATAATGAAAAGATATAATGTTTTTTGGAATATACTTAGGGAAAAAAGGATAAGGGAAGGAGTTAAACAATAATACCAATAAATTGTTCTGTAAAACCTCATCTGCACGGCTAGATAATGTAAATGGTGAACAAAAGTAAACTGAGTTCTTAGCTCTTTTACTATCATAGACACATGTATGTGTCTCTTTAAAGCACTACCACACAAGTTTTGAGTGTTATACCACCACGAAGAGAGGATATATCCTTCAAATTTTCCAAAGTTTACTACTCTAGGTAAGTCAAGAAATATTAAAGTGTGTCTTGTTCTTTAGTGTGAATTTAAAAAATAAATCTGGAAATTGAAGAGCTGTTTGTCTATAAATATACCAGTGAAAGTTAAGAAGTACTGTTGACTTGGGCTCTGTACAAGTTCATGTTGTGGCATATCTAGTAACCTGTGATAAGCACAATACTAACATTTTAAACAAAAGATATAACCATTTGTTATGTAATATGTAAAAAATAATAACAGAAAAAATAATATTTTTACATAGAGAAAAAATACAATTTTACAAAATCGCTGGAATTGAAGCCCATATTTATCACTGCAGTTTGAAGAAACAAACAAAATGTAAGCATCCTAACAACTTCTTGTAAGCATTTTATTACAAAATCATCATCACTTTTGTAACAAGTGTTTGCATATGTGTAAATACAAGAATATTCTACTGGTATAACGTTTTTAATTGGAAAAAGTTTTCCAATATGCACAACTGAAATTGTTTTTTTATCATCACTGAGCTTCAGAAATTTGACTAGGTCAAAGGTTAAAATAAATCAACACTACAATCTCTCATATCAAAAGACTGTTTCTTCAGGTGACCATTTCTTCCATCTGCAAAACAGAAACAAAATACAATCTTTATAATATAAAAAAAAATAAACCAATATATTTTAATAACATGTTAAATAAAGAGAAAGAGCATAGTTTAAGCTCTCAATATGTGTGTGTATTCATAAAACATCTACTCCTAAACTTTAGTATTCACTAATACAACTTTCACAAGTATAGGTTCAAGAATAACCTCATTTTGAAGTAAGTTATATCTAAATACTGTTAAAAACGTTTTCATTGTTTTATACCAACTTTCGTTGTGGAAGTCCTTACAATATCAAAAACAGTTGAAGTTTATCTAGTTATTTATATGGGGGAAAAGGCAATTAACCTGCATATAAAGGGTTAAAATTTCAAATAATAAATGTGAAATTAATATTTTTTAAATCTCTACAACCTTAATTGTTTAATTACAATATATGACACACAATTACAGTATGTGTCAAACAAATTACCATCAACCTGGTCCAAATTAGGTGTTCACAGTTTGAAACATTGTATTATCCAAAAGTTGATCCACTTTTACAATAGTGGCTGCAAAGTTCAAGATGTTTCTCGTGTTGGTATACCTTTAGAATATCCACATATGTATTTTTACGTCTGTGTTCGTTTGTTAATTACCCGTAAAAATTATTTTCGAAGAACTTCAGCGATACAAGTCATTTCTCAAATAAAACTAGTTTATTCTTTCTCAATTCAACCTTGCAATACACTTAAGTTCCACAGTCACTTTAACTTAAACACACACTATAATTCTCAACAAACGATTCACGCACTTTACTTACTACCGCGCTTGACTCAATTGTCCATCTATATCTTCAATCTCTTTGTCTGCTATTATCTATCTATATATGCCATCACTCCTCGCCGGTCTTATATATACGAAATAGAGGGCGTCTGGTAAACACTCGAGTTTTCATGAACGTTCTAGATACTCATTACGTGTTACCAGCGTCACGTAATTCCTCTGTCGTAACAATATACTAAACACAGATGTGTAAAAAAATAAATGGTACAAAAATTATTGACTTCCAAAAAAATATGTAAAAGAGAAACATTGTCATTAGTGAGACAAAAATAAAAGAAAGATCATTTATTAAGCTTCCCAGTAGAATATTAAACCATTTTTTAGTGATAACTTGATACTGAAGAATCAGTGTTTTTAAAACGTGAGCAATAAATAAAACTAAAAAAAAAAGATTGTCACATTGATATACTGCATCTTTTATTTATTAAATCTAGATTTCAATACTCTTAATGTGTCATAATAAAACTAAGATATTTATTCCAATAAACAATAACAGTGAACTTATAGAATACTTAAATTTTGCTTTCTTTATATAGCATGCACTGAGATACTGAATCAGAGCTAAAGTGATATGACAGTTGTAAAGTAGGAATCTGATTCTTAAATATAAAGAACACAGGCAAACAATGGGTTTAAACACACATCTCAACTGTATCTGTGGATACATTGTGAATAGAAAGCTCTATGATCAGGTCAATAGCATTCTAAAGGTTCAAGACTGGTGCCATCTTTGGCCAATAAATTTTTGTGTTTTCATGAAAGACAATGGTTGGAAAATTGCCTGAAACAGTTTAAACCTCTCTACTACCACACATTAATAACATCTTACCTATTTTTAAGAACACTGATTGAGCTTCCCAATTTCTTCAATATCTGAACATTTCATGAAGTTCAACATCAGCAAGATGATAAACTTTCCTTTTTGGGCACTTTATTTAGTAATAATAATGGTTAATTCAAATGTGAAGAAAACATTCACAGGCTTGTACTTTAATTTTGAGTTACATTCCAAATATTTTTAAGGAAAATTTATTTAAAATATATCATCATGCATGTAGAATATCGTATTGTATTAAGTTCGTGCATAAAGAATTTAATAACATCAAGGAATTCTATGATTTTTCGATCATAGATAGAATGCTTCATAATTACTTAAAGAAGTGAAGTGTTAGTATACCATGTATATCTGAAGTGCCTAAGTATCCTCTTGTCATTAGTTTACCCTACATGGGTGAATATTATTTAATCATTAAGAACCTAATGTTGCTTATGTTTTTAAAAAATCATCATACTTAATTAATAAATTTACTTGTCCTTGCTGTCAGCAAGGGTACATTGGTTCTACTAAAAGAGAATTGTTAACACAAATTAAAGAACATGCTAACCTAAGATTTCCTATTAAGTCAAACATACTTGAACATGCCCTTGGAAAATGTTATGATGGTGTTCATTCTAATTGGTTTAAGATCTTAGCATGGGACAATGATGAATACAGCCTCCAAATAAAGGACAGCTTGGTCATTCACAAGCTGAAGCTTGAGATAAATATGGTTGGAACAGCTAGTAAACTACTTTTGGTACTATAAGAATGTAGTTGTCTGCTAAGTGAACTTATTTGACATTAAGTAGTTAACATTATTAAACACCCAGATATAAGTTTATCACATCACTACACTGTCTGATATAGCTTAGAAACAAATACAACACAGGTGAATAAGTATTTTATATTAAATGCATAGAACTGAAATATTTTGTTTATAAATCGGCTCTTGCTCAAAAGGAAGTTTTTCTTAACTCATTCATATAGATAATATTATTACCAGCAGATGCCTCTTGAAATGATTCAACAGTAATTTTCTTAAAAATAGTGATGAATAAATATAAAATATGCAGTCAACCCAATCCCTTGGAGAAGAGTGTATATGCAATATGATTGTCTAGTGAGCCATTTACAATTGTCTTTTGTCATTCCATGTGTTATTTCAATAAAGAAAATTGCATTGCATTTGTTTTTAAGCAAAGGAGACTGACTACAATACACTGTTGGGAAAGATGTTTGGGTTTTGATGCAATGGGTGCATCCAGCATAATAAAGTGCTCGAGCTTGCTAAGTAGCTGCTGGGATTTTTTCTGCTGTATGCCACTGTTCCTTATCATTTTGCTGATTGCAAGAAAAGACTACTACTGAAGTGAGCACTTTTTGACAGTTGTCATTTCTCTAAGTGTTAAAGGGGAGATATTCAATTCAAATCAATTTATTCAACATGGTACAATAAAACCATGCATGTATATAATACCAACAAAAAATTATACTGAAGCATGTTCCTCTCTCTATGCATTTTTTTTTTGTGTTCTTCGTGCTCCTATCTTTGGAATGTTTCTTTCAATCAGTCCAGTTTTTGGTGAAATTACCTCACTAAAAGAAATATTTTTATTCTTAATATATTTTTCTCTCAGATTGACCATTCAGCACACAAGAAGACTGATAGATCAATGTTGATATCCATATGAAATTTTAGAACATGCAAAGACTGAATAATTTTCCTGCAGTGTACTCTTGAAAAGAAGTATTTTGATGTATATATATATATATATTTTCTTCTTCTAAGAGTAACTGATATAGAGCAAGACATGCAGATATTTGGCTATGATAAATATGAATGTTTTTTTCTCATGGAAAACTTTATATTTCACATTTCTGTAATATATTTAATACTTCTCTTGTTAATAGTTGGTCACATTTCAGATAATGCCAGTATTTTTAAAAACTGGCTCAGTACTAAAGAAGGTTGTGCATTTTCTTTACATTACATGTTCTATCAACATAAGTTATACTACAATAATAAGTTTCTTTACATTGTTTGTAAGTAAAGATGTAGCATTGTTGTCTACTTATCTACAGAGATCAGTTCAAACATTTTAGAATACACCAAAATCTCTTTTTTTGACCTGGTAAATATGGCACTGTTATGAACAATGATGTCTATCCATTCAGGTGTTTCCTCTACTATAAACTAAATCCCATGACTCAACAGTAAATCACTTTAAAATGGGGAATTAATGTAATACTGAATCCTAAATGTTAGTTATGGTGGAAATTTTGTCCTGTTTCACTTTTAAATACATCACACTTGAATTCTCAAATTACATTAACATCTTTTCCCAAACTTCAAGAGTGAAAAAATAAGAAGTGTGCAACACCTAAACAGTAGCTACACAAATTAAAATAAGAGATCTTACAAGGTGAAGACAACAGGACCAAATGTAAAGAAAGAGAGTACTTAACTAGCTGAAAAAATAAATTTGTTAAATACAGCTTCCATTAATACTTGTCAAATATTTACCATATCAAACCAATTGAAAATACCTTGGGAGAGATAATGTCAACTGAATAAAAACCTTAGTTGTACTGAATACAGGAATATAAAGGCCTCTGTTCGCTTATATTAACTTTTCCGTTTACAGTCTACATCTACCTCCCTATTAGTTTAACAAGGTATATCTTCCATAAATGTAATAAACAGCTCTTGTCTACATTCTACATCATGGTAATGAATTACTGCTGAAGAAAATAAATGAAGTGAACAAGTTTAATATAAACACAAGTTTTCAACCATAATTTTAAACAGAAGAGAAATACACACACAAAAAACCTTTGCTCCAATGTCTCTAGATACTTCAATTTAACAGTTATTAGTCATTTCATTATATTTATCATATCTTGATATGAAATTTTCACCAAACAAGTTTTTCTTTCTTCAATCAAAAGGTAATTATTTACAATACTTATGTTAAGATCTGCCTTATAATTAAAAAAATAAATCAACTATTATAGGAGTTTGCCTAATGAGTAATTAGTTATCAGTCATATGTAGTATCCAACAGACATTATTATGAATGATAACGTATTATAGCCCTAATATGCCTAAAGTCAAACAGTAGTGAACAATCAACAAGAAAGTCTTCACCTGAAAATGATATTGATATAGAATTTGAATTTAAAATCAAAAGCCAATCGCAAAAATTACCATGAGGAACCCAAAATATTAGTGGAGGAACAAAAAAACTGTTGGAAATATTTTGCACAAAGAAAATACACATTTTTCCAATTTCAATTGTAAGTTCCGTGAAACACTTCCACATAACGAGGAGTGTAAGTGCTGCAGAGAATATAAAGGTAAATATAATGACA